AGGAACAATCCAAGAGCAGCAGTGTACTCCGTGTACACCCCTGACCGTGTGCGTGCACACACGTGCTAGTGCACCTGTGTGAGTGCGCACGTGCTCTCCGAGGACCAAGGATAGGGTGGGCCCTGGCCAGAAAAGTCAAGAGGGCTGGGCTTCAGGCCCAGATGGGCCTCTTACCAGCCAGGGCCATCCATGCTCAGACTTCCACTCTCTGAGCCCCAGGTTCCTGAGATGTAAAGCAGGGGAAATTCTCCTACAGCCTGCAGGGCAGGTGCTGAATGATGTGGTGGTTGTAACACACCCCGCGCTGTGTTCTCAGTCAATGTGCGCTCCTCTCCCCCCCAAGACTGCCCCGGAATTCTAATCCCACCGGCACTCATAGACCCCCACCCACACTCACCCCAAGAGCCCCCATCCTCCTAGTGTTAAGATATAGGACAGGGAATGGCTTCCTCAGCCAGAGCAGCACACGAGGAAGGCACGAATGTGAGACAAAGTTACCTCGGCCAATACTTACTTCTGCTTCACAAAGTCATCTGTAATGAGCTTCCTCAGATCGCCAAGGAATGGGTGCCTCATCCTGAGGGCAAGGAAAGGAGTCCATAACTAGAGGCGGTGGCAGTGCCCGGATGTGGGCAGGAGCACTCCCTAACAGGATTGAGAGCGTCCCAGCCTGTGGGACAGCTCCATGAGGCCTGGGCATGCAGCAGAGGTCACACAGCCACTTGTCAGTGATGGCCTGCATACGGGTTTCACGGAGCCCCAAATTCTGGTGGTTTCTCTTAGATCTCCTCTGAGGACAGAGAGGAGACATGGAGCAGACGGGGGCTGAGAGTTCAGGACCATTTCACCATGTACCCTGGTGAGACCCTCTGCACTCTGCCTGGTCCAGGACGCCCACTCCCCTGCACCAGACCGCCAGCCTGTGGCAATCCCGGGGCCTCTTGTGCCCAAGGACAATGCTGAGAGGCAGTGAGAGCCCAATCTTACCCAGGGCGCAGTCCCATCTTGCGTAGTGCCTCCCAGAGGACAGCTGTGAGGGGAGATGAGGAACAAGAATTTAGAACACGCAGGTGAGACTGGGGGCAAGGCCCGCAGCTGCAGGTCGAGCCACTCACCCTCACTGGCACGGTTGCCATTCATGAAGATGACGCCCAGAATCACCAAGAGGAGACTCAGCCTGGGAGTGTCCTTGGTCCTAAAGGTGTAGAAAGAGGGATCCTGTCCAGCAGCCATTTGCCCAAGAGACTACAGCCGGCTCACCCAACTAGCCTCTCCCAGATTGCTCCCCTACCGGGCAGTTCTTCCAACTCTGCGCATGGCTTGCTACCTGATCCAGACAATTCACTCCTCTGCTTGAGACTGTGTCACTTCATCCATCAAACGTGGATGCTAACACGCCCTCCCAGGATTCTGCCGAGGACAGGGCTAGGCGAGGAGCAAACACTTGCCAAAGGGGTGTATCCAGAGGCACATCCACGCCTTCCCTGCCCTTTTGCCCATGGGAGCTACACTAGACAGGAAGCTCCCCCAGAACCAACCACTCTGCCAAGCCCTGGCCAGGCACTTAGCAGGGAGAGGAAAGCAGCAAGAAGACTGCTTTCTCGGAAGGAGGGGGATGAGGTGGGCGGGGGTGAAACACTGACCGCAGCAAGGCCTTGCCCAGGCTACTACCCCATTCGTCTGGTATTCACTTGGCACCACTAACTGTGCGTGGGCATTGTGCTAGGCCCTCCAGCCCTGTTTTCCCGTTTCTCTGAGAGGAGGGAGAGGCACCACCTCAGAAGGCCACGACCCCCCTGCCCTTTCTCACTTTCCCAGGAGACGAGCTGAAGAATCCCGAGTGCAGACAAGAATGTACAGGTGTTCTTCCTTGTCAATCTCCTTCAGGTGGATCCCGAACTTCTACACAGGGAGAAAACAGCATGTGAGGCCAAAAATCCGTGCTGGGTGTCCTGCAAGCAGTCCCTCCATTCCCTGTCACAACATTTCCTAGGCAGGGAGCCTAAAGTCGTGGGGGAGGACGGGAAAAGAGAGGCTGCAGAAGGACTGGCCTGTGGGAGCTCTGGCACTGGCTGAGGCAGTGGGACCCTCTTCAGGAGACAACAGACGCTCAGAGAGCATGAGGGAGAGGAACCCAGGGGAGTTAAGTGTGCAGTGGAAGCTTCCAGGTGGAGAAGCTAGGCAAGGCTTCCGGAGCAGGCCATACTGACACTGGGCCTCCAAGGGCTGCAGGGTGCAAGGCTTCCCTGCCGCTCTTGTTCCACAGTTTCCCCCATCCCTGCGCCCACCTTTTCCAGGGTGTATGTTGCTCGTTCAATGATCTCAGGGAAATGTTCGTCGTATTCTCGGATGACGTCCTTCAGCATGTCTACAGGCAGGGGGAGGTGGGGAAAGCACCTGGGCTGAGCAGAGGCCACGGAGCCGCAGCCCCTCGGTCAGCCCTGCTGAGGGGAGCACAGTCAGGACCTGGTACTGTGCACATGGAACCATCAGCCAAGGCCTAATGGGTCGGGGCATTAGGGGAGGGTTGCGGGAGGAGGGAGGGCAGAGCTCAGGGAGGGGGCACAGTTGTCCACCTGAGCGCTTGATGGGGATCTTCTTGTAGTCCTTAATCATCAGATATTTCACCAACTTATTTGCCTGGAGAAGGAGGAGCACATGGGGAAGTGGTGGAGACACGGGTGAGCCCGCAAAGAACTGGCCCACAAGGGAGGAGGAGGGAGAGGAGGGAAGGGCAGACTTCTTACCCTCTCTTGCAGAAGGGTCACGTTGCGAGGTGGCAAGCACAGTACATGCCTTGAGGGTACCTGGGACCTCAGGGCCATCGGGGGCCGAGGGGCCATCTGAGCCTGCACCGTCAATGAGGGCTGTGATGCTCTCCAGGTTGGTGGAACCGCAGGAGGCTCTCTCTCCTCCTCGCTGCTCTCATACTCATCATCCAGGTGCTTGGACTGTAGCATTGGGGAGAGGAGAGACCCAGGGCTACCGAGCTTACTGGGCCAAAGCCCCTGGCAACATCTTCACCAGAGCAGGTACTTGGAAATAAGAGTAGTAGGAACAGTGGATGACACGTGCAGAGTGCTTACTAAGTGCCAGGCACTGAGCCAACCTCTTCTCCCTCCAGGCCTGAGGGCAGGGACTACATGGAGTAAAAACATGCTAGCACACTTGTGTTAGAGAAATTTGGACAAGCTGAGAGAAGAAGAGGGGAGGGGAGAGGAAAGGGAAGGGAAAGGAGGGGAGGAGACAGGAGGGATGAAGAGGAGAGGACAGGGAAGAGAAAGGAGAAGAGCAAGGGGGTCTGGAGAGGGCAGGGAGGTCTCACCTTCTTCGTCCTCTTGCCTCCCATCCTGGCCCAGGGCTCAGCACTGTTCTGAGCAGCGGCAGCTGCACTCTCAGGCTCAGGGGCACTGGTGGCCATCTTGGCCTTGGCAGCAGCTGCTGCCACAACATTCTGAGGCTCCACCCACCGAGTCTTAGCAAGAGCCTTCCCAGACTTGGTCGTCTTGGGCCGGGTGGTTGCCCCCTCCCCGGCATATGCTGCTGCCTGGGGCATCCCAGAGGCAGCGCTGGGGCCCTCTGCAGCAGCCTCCTGGGCAGGGGCAGGTCTCTTGGGGCGTGGGAAGGCCATGCCACTGACACCTGCCGGCTGGGCGAAATCAAACACATCGTTCTGACCCAGGAAGGCTGTCTTGGGCCGGGTGGCATCCACCTCACTGCCACACAGAGCCTGAGAGGAAGCGCAGGCAGTACTAGGACCCTCAGTAGCAGCCTTCTGGGCCTGAGAGGATGGCTGGGACTGTGAGGAGGTTGCTGGAGCCCCAGAGGCGGCCATCTCACTGCTGACTGGCATCTGGGAGCTGCGCGGAGAAGCAAGGGTTGTGTCAGGGGTGCCTCCTTGAGCCTCCGCCAGGTATGTCATGGGCTGGGTATCTTCTCGTGAGGCCTGGTCTGTGGCCAGCGGGTGGCTAGCGACCACCTGATTGTAGGCGGCACGTGCAACAGCGGCAGCAGCCCGAGCGGCACGGTTGGAGGCAGCGGCGCGGGCTACGTTGGCAGCACGGTCGGCAGCCTCATTGGCAAGTGTTTCCGGATCCAACTGAAATGCCTCCATCAGAGTCCGGGCCAGCATAGGGTTTTCCAGTTCCCAGGGTTCATTCTGCAAGGCCAGAGAGAAGGGTAGGGGAAGGCATACAACTCTGCACACTAGCATCATGGTTCCCTGTGGCTGGCCAGCCTCCTCCAGGCAGCCAGCCAGCCAGCCTCCACTACCCACCAGAGCCTCCCCAAACCCCTTTCTCTCAGCAGGAGAGAGAAGGTTTGGTTTGCAGAGTCTGGGCAGTCCTTCCCATCAACCCTCCCCTTCATCCACACCCCTCTGCAAACCCTCCCCACCACTCCTCCACCACACCCACCCACACCCACCCCCC